TAATAACTGTAAATGGGGCTTTGATATACTATGACATGGCCAAACAAAAATCCTGTTACTTCATTATGCCAGTTTCTTGCTATTAAAATAGCCTTTGAATACTGTATAATACTTTGTTTACTGTATACGAAAATGTTTCTACTGTCCTCAGTGACAGTGTCCTGAATAATATGTATACCTTCATTTTATGAACACAAGGGTTAACTGTTATATAAATATCACCTAATGACCGAAACGCACTTTTATGCAAATCATTAATAATTAATATATTTTTCCTGCTCTATGACCATATGGTTAATACAAATTTGATAATTTGATACATGAAATACATACAGTACTTCTGCTAAGTTGTAACTTTCAAGCGTTCATACCGAAATATCAATACCTCTACCAGAGAAAGAAAATAACTTACATGTTTCGGCTGGGTCTTTTCAAAGTGTCTTTCACAAACGTGAAGTGTTTGTTGAGCGATTTGATTTCTTAAACTTGCATCTATCTCTCGATCCAGCGTCCTTGGTGACAAGCCTCGCCAACGCTTCGCGAATTTTCGTCGATAAATCGTCGTCTTTTGTTGGATTTCAAAAAATACTGAGACCAAAGTGTTTTCTACTAGTCCCGCAACCATGTATGGAGCAATTTGCAACTGATATTTGGATATCCTTTCTGTAAAAGACGTTTTTCAAGCACTGCAGCCTCCTCTGTTATACAATCTCCTATTACAAATAGATTTTGATGCACCCGTATTGTCACGTGACAGAGAACAATAACATAATTTGGCCACGCCCCCAGCTTCCAAACCCTCTCCTCTATTAACTATGCCCAGCTTTAGCTTTATATCGCTTGAAATGTAACGCAACACTTATTATTTATGACATTCAGTGCATAGCAGGAAGTCATGTCAATGGTGTCATGATAAATACGAATTTAGAACAGTTCCTTTCACAATTTCAGCGGAAAGTGGAACACAGTTGCCATTTTCCAAACGCAATTTTCCACCCTCGCTAAGGCATATTTCAATTTACCCCGCGAAATCCGGAAACCACGTGACCAGCTCCGACCATTCCTCAACAAGAGGGAAAAGCCTGGGAACGAGATTGTGGCAAGAGAACACTAGAGACCTTACGATTTAGGACGGCAACGGCTACCAATACAATAAATCATTGAAAAAACTGAATAATTACATTAAATATATGAATAATTTAGACATTGTCCTTCGCTCTGTTTACAACGCGAAATCACAGATTTTTACGTCTTGATACATTTTAATGATTATATGCAATAAAAATAGTTAACACCAAGCACGAGCTTGTGGGTGTCTAATTTACATTCATATTATTTAATTATTCACATTGATCCAGATTTTACAATAACAATTTGCAGGCTTTAATCTCTCGATTTTCTCTGCATGTCGTTTCTCTAGTATACACTTTCTCGAAGAAAGCTTTGGATTGATATAGGGATGCAACTATCGACACAACTTCTCCTTCTATTTTTTAGCTAGATGCATCCCTATCAATCCGAAACTTTTTTGGCACTACCAACACTGGCACAGACGATACACTTTCTTTTACATGTTTACTCATTTCAGTGGTCGATATCCAGAGGCGTAGCCAGGGATGGGCCGGGGGCCCGCCCCCCCCTGGTAAAATGTTGCCCCCCCCCCTGATAAAATCTATTGTATAAAAAAGGGAATCTTGATTATATAGCTTCATGTTGTCAATAATGCAAATATTCTGTTGAATATATGCTTTGCTGCGCATCAGTGTGAAATAAAAAATCTTGTTCGCTTATTTGCGGCACACAGCTTGAAACACATACCTTTTCTGACCCTAATTATTTCAATATGTATTAAATGAGGGTTAGATGAAGTGTAAACCAATCTGTTTTTTACCAGTGAATTTTAACCCAGGCTCGGTTAAAAATAAAACATTTCAATTGCAAATCTTTCAAATCTCAATTGCAAATCTCTATGAAATATGTATACGTTATCATAATCTTCATCAACAAGTGGAACAAGTTTTCAGCAACTTCGGCCACAATCAAGACCTTTGCTACAACAACAGTACCCAAAGAAAAGGCAAGGGAATCGAGAAAGATCTTTCCAATAATTCCAAAGCATATTGTACAATGATTTTTCTTAGGTGGAGTATTTCAAAGATGCAGATGCATGTTTTTGCTATCCTTGTCAAATGTTTGCGAAAGATTCCACAAAAGAACTAGGGATCCAAGGATAGTGTGAAGTTTCAAATTTAAAAAGGCACTGCAAGAACTATATAGGGTCGCCGACAACCTAGAAAAGCTTGATGGCTTACACTACGAAATAAACAGTTACCAAAGGCATTTCATCTCATTATTTATTGCTTTTAATACGCTCGGCATACGAGTGACGTTTGAAACAAGCCTAACACATCAGAAACGTGCCTTGTGAAACTGATGCAATTCATCTGTTTATTGTGTCACCAACAACCAAATTTTGCATATTCTAAATTTTCATTTGCATTTGCAGCTGTCGCTGAAAGCATGCCCACGAGGCTACTGCTATGCTAAATTTATCTAATAAACTATAATTGAAATAGCTGTATAAGATATGTTTTGAACAATAAGCACTACGTCGTTACATCATTAAAAGACGCATTTTATCCTCATCCGTTCCGTATTTTATCCGCATATCCGTTCCGTGGATCCGCTCCATCCGCTCCGCATTTTAACTTAATTGTGACATGTTTCCAAGTTTCATTGACCTTTGACTTTTCCCAGTGTGACGTGTGTCTATTTTCAGCTTTTCGCATGTGTTGAATATAAGTATCACTTTAGATTTCAATAGACAATAGTTTCACAGTTATAGCAGTGTTTAAAACATTTTTGACAAGCTTTGATACAGTTCTGTGTACAGAATACTACAGATTGATTCTCGTAAGATCTGGTAGAGTTATCGTTGCACTGAATACGAGTTTGCACCGTTGACAACGGCGTTGTGCTAGACACTAGACAGTAAACAAAGACAAGGACAAGGTCCGTGAATGTACACGTTGGCTACATGTACCTCCTTGCTTTTTTCTTCTATTGCATAAAGCTTGTTGGCGAGCCAATTAAGCGATTAGCGATAACACGTTGGAGATAACACCTAAACACGTTGGCTATCTCCTCGTCTTTCTTATTTATACAAGGAGCTCTGACTCAACTGATTCCTTTAGTCTCGTAAGTTTTTTTCTTGGTAAACGCCGTACAAACGTAATGGTCAGACGGTACGAAAGAGCAATGGTCAGACGGTACGAAACCTTATCCAAGTCAGGCCAGAACACAAGATATGGCTGAAAACAGTATTCAACACTATCAAATACCTGGTTGCTGATGGTCTTAGCTTTCGCGGACACGACGAAAACTCGAAGTTAGAAGAGGACCTGGCAGGAGGGCTCTATTTAAATACATTATCTGATCTTATTTTTGCTCAAGATCCTCATTTGCAACAAATAGCAAAGAATCTTCCAACCAATGCAAAATATACCTCACCAGAAATACAAAATGAGGTAATAGAAACCCTAGCAGGGATTGTGAGAGAGACAGTGGCCAACGAGTGCAAAGAAGCGGAGTTATTCACCCTAATAATGGATGGAACTACTGATAGCAGTCAGAGGTACAGTATATGAACCTTAAAAACTTAAATAACTGGCAGGTTAACTTCTGTAGTAGTGTTTGTTACTGTAGTATTTAATTCTGGTCATATATCACAACAATATTTAGTGAAATGGAAGGTGTTGCATTGAGATATTGATATAACAACAGCAAAGCAGGTATTGTGGAACATGTGGTCGATGTCAAGTTGGCCAAGAAGACAGGTCTGGAAAGGGTCTTGTGGACATCGGTACAACAACTCTAGAAGAGACGAGCGTAAAATATCAATGGATGGACTAGTTTCCAATACTTTTGATGGGGCTAGTGTCATGTCTGGGATAAAAGGTGAGTAAGATGCAGCATGCATCATAAAGTTTAGTGTTGATGAGTTATCATTGAAGTCT